TTTGGGAATGGTGTGGGAGCTCAGGAATCATGGAGGATGCTACTGTAGGACATTAGTTTTCATTGTGAATGTTATCTCTGTATGATTGAAGAATGGCAATGTCAGAATATACTCATTTAGCAACAGGTTTGAAGATAAAGCTTGGGTACGACATGCACAGTATGTAGGCTGTAATCACCTAGTTATACTGTACATAATTACATGAGTTAACTACTTCAGTTAATAGGAACTAACAATGACAAATATTTTTAAAGCATGCATTAAAGGATTAGTTCACTTTTGAAAAAACTTTTGCTGATAATTTACTCACCCCCATGTCATCCAAGATGTCCATGTCTTTCTTTCCTCAGTCGAAAAGAAATTAAGGTTTTTGATGAAAACATTTCAGGATTTTTCTCCTTATAATGGACTTCAATGGGAACCAGGTCCAACCGAGGTCCAAACGACAGTTATAACAGTTACAGATGCAGCTTCAAATGTCTTTAAACGACACCAAACGATGAATAAGGGTCTTATCATGCGAAACGATCGGTCATTTCTTATTCCAAAAATGTAACTTTTCTAAGGACAAATGCTAGCCTTTCTCCATTCTGTGAGGCGCGTTTGCAACGTCACGTAATACGTAATTACGTTCAAAAGGTCACGGGCGACGTAGCCAGAAGGACAGAGTCAGAGTGTTTACAAGTTGAACGCATAGGTTGACCGTGCAAACTAACTCAAACGCCGTTTACAAAAAAGGAATTAAAAGGTAAAACAACGATGTCGGACGATTTTGATTCTGTACTTCTGGCTACGTCACCCGTGACCTTTTGAACGTAATTACGTATTACGTGACGTTACAAACGCGCCTCACAGAATAGAGCAAGGCTAGCATTTGTCCTTAGAAAAGTTACATTTTTGGAATAAGTTTTGAAATAACCGATCGTTTCGCATGATAAGACCCTTATTCATCGTCTGGTGTCGTTTAAAGACATTTGAAGCTGCATCTGAAATTGTTATTAACTGTCGTTTGGACCTTGGACCGTTTGGTTCCCATTGAAGTCCATTATATGGAGAAAAATCCTGGAATGTTTTCATCAAAAACCTTAATTTCTTTTCGACTGAGGAAAGAAAGACCTGGACATCTTGGATGACATGGGGGTGAGTAATTTATCAGCAAAAGTTTTTTCAAAAGTAAACTAATCCTTTAATCTCAATAGTTCCAACATTTGTGCTACTCATACATTATTCAAATTAAAAGTCTGTTAATCTGTTAATGTGATTTATAATACACCTGAGCTGACAAGAACGAACAATGAACAGCTTTAACAAAAATGAATAGATACTGAAAAATGTTTTGTTTATTAAATGTATTGCTCATTGTTAAGTTATGCATCAAATAAGTGTTACCATAATTTTAAGTAAATAAATATCACAGTATTATAATTGAAAGTATGAAGGATAAATATTCCTTTTGAGACCTGATAGATTACAAATAAAAATAAAGATTATAAATAGCACGGTTGTTAATTTATTTTTATTTGATTAAAAATAACTTTGAGCATCAGATGATTAAAAAACACACACACATAGAAGTATATAAATAGGCAATTTCTGAATTATTGAGTTAATTATCTCAGAATTACGAGATCATTTTTCATGGAAAAAAGTTTTTGCTCTGTTTTTCTGAATTAACAAGTTAATTATCTCAGAATTGCGAGATAATTTTTCATGGAAAAAGTTTTTGCTCTGTTTTTCTGAATTAACTAGTTACTTATCTCAGAATTACGAGATAATCTTTTATGGAAAAAAGTTTTCTGATTTAATGACTTGATTAACTCAAAAACTCATTAATTCATAAAAATAGAGTGAAAAAAATGTTTTTCAAGAAAAATTTATCTCATAACTCTGAGATAATTAACTCATTAATTCATAAAAACAGAGTGAATTAAAATATATATATATATATTAATTCTGAGATAATTAACTCTTTAATTCAGAAAAACTGAGCAAAAACTTTTTTCCATGAAAAATTATCTCATAATTATGAGATAATTAACTCGTTAATTAAAAAAAAAACAGTAGATTTTGTTTCCTCAAGTGAATTCAATACGCTTCGGTACTGCTCCTTAGTCAAACTACAAAAAAATAAAATGACAAGCAATTTAGGATGTACCCTTAAAATTATTTACATTTGTATAACATTCCTGGTTCTATTGTTCACAATTCATCAGTGCATGTTATTTAGTAATAAATCACTAAATCCCTAACCTTAAATGTCCACAATGCCCTTTTCAGGAATTTCAGGCATCCACCTGAAAAACAGCAACACTTCAAACCCTACCGGATTAAATCAAGCCCTTCCCAACGCGTTTCTCTTGTTAAATGTTCCGATTCATTCAGAAGTGTGTGTTATCGTGGGGCTGTGAATGCTGTTTTTAGATTCTGACTGGAAACTCAGAGTACATAATAGTGTCGAGGCACACAAGAGTGAGTTTTCATCCGCTGGATTGAGACACAATTATGTGAAAATCATTAACTAAACCCTTAACATGCCACACATATCACATCTCTAACCGCACCCCCGTCTGAGATAGCGCCGCGCGGGTAACCTCTCCGCTTCAGGACGCTTGCAAAAAAACACCAGACGGCTGGCGATACTACAGATTGCACATTAACTCCTAACGCAGTGACGCAACCTGTTTATTCCTGTGACCAATCAGCGCTTTCTTTTTTTTATACAAGCAAGTCGTTGCCTGTCTGTTTCTTTGGCATGCCATCAAAGACCAAAAAAATGGAGCATTTGAGAACATTTCCGAGGACACAGATCATTTCAGGACGCAGTTCTGGGTCAGAAGACGTTTTGCGAGTGTGTGTGGGGGGCGGAAGACACAGATCTGGTTGATAGCGCTGCTGTGTGTGTGCGGTTTATCTGCTGATTATTGGTCCGAGTTGTTGAACTCGGTCACCCGCTGCCTTGACTTTGCTGACCTTTCTCATGTTGGCACAAGCTAAACCCTCTCAAAGAGCCATTCAGCATGACTGGACGCATGTTATATCGGTCAGACAAAAAGAGATGTGAAACTGTGGTTAAAGGTGGAGCGTTGTGAATGTCGTATTTCACATGGAGTCGGGAGGAATGTGGAAGCAGTAATGGGTGTAATTGCCAGTGTGCTTTGTGAAGACAGTTTGAGGTGGGGGGAACGAGGGGAAGAAATTGTGTGAGGAGGTCGGGATGGTTTTTTAGAGGGGCTGAATGTGTGTTTGTGGTGTTTAGAGAGACATTAAGCAAGAGGGACAAAACTTCCTTGCTGAGTATGAAGGTCTCTGGTGAAACTTGTGTGTGTGTGTTTATACGCAGCTGTATATTATCATACTACTTACACTATTTCTGCACTACGGAGTATGCAATTTGCTTCTAAGCAAGAGAGCACACTAGAGTTGTTTCTTATATCCACCGAGGCTGTATTTGTTTAATCAAAAGTACAGTAAAATTATTAAATATTATTACAATTTAAACCTCTCTTCGCATGTCAGTCAAAAATATTAGGTATTTTTTGTATATATGTGAAATATTTGGGATTTTTAGGGGATTTTATGGTACTAAACGCTGTATTTATAATCCATTTATTCACTTTTTGAGCATGGACCTGAAAACTAAAACCGTCGTAATTTTTGAATGGTTTAGACTAGAGCACAGACTTAAGTTTGATCTCTTTTCAAAGATGACACATGGCAGTTTATTGATGATTAAGTGAAAAAAAGTTTAAAAAAGTGAACTTAAAAAAAAGTTACAGAATTTTACATTTATTGTTTATTTTTTATATTTATATAAAATATATATTATCAAAAAACATTTTTCACTTTAAAACGGCAAGAAAATCGAAACCATAAATCTATACAAGTTGTTTTCCAAATTTGAGCTTGATATCTTCAAAAAAAATTTGTTTGGCCGCAGTACCAAAAGTTTCCACTAGACAAAATTAGTCTCCCGTTCGTTTCCAATCCGGTCATTTTTGACAGCGAGGAGCAAAGGTGTGACTTTTTTTTCAGGACCATTTAGGCTACGTCCACATTATTCCGGATAGATTTAAAAACGGGGTTTTCGTTTAAAAACGCTCTCCGTCCACACTAGCGTTTTCAGGCGTTTTCCGACGTTTCAGTGTGGATAAAAAACTTCTAAATTCACTTTACTGCGCATGCGTGAAACTTCACAAAAGCTCACTGAGATGATACAGATGGGAAAATAAATAATAATGTTATCGCACAATAACAGGATAATTTTATTTGGCAAAATATCTCACCATCACGGATGCGTCCAGGTCGCATTCAGTCACCATATGTTTGGTCTAAAACGCAACTGCTCTCCTGTTTTGCCGCAGGACAGCAAATGTGAGTAAGCTACATTATCAGTCATCTTTGCAGTGCTGTGCTATGAAGAATAGCACATATTAAGTAACATAGAAAGTAACATATTTTAGCAATAGTGTAAAAATGAATAATAGGCACAACCTGAATATCTATTGGTACTACATGGATCACATGACTAAACTTACGTCATCGTTTTGAAATACCTCCGGTTTCACTGTCCACACTACAACGCGAAAACGGCGTTTACAAATTTATCCACTTTGGAGAGCGTTTTCCAAACGATACGTTTTTGTTGACTTAAAACGGCGTCTCAGTGTGGACGGAAGGCCAAAACGGAGAGAAAAATATACGTTTTCAAACGAAAACGTATTAGTGTGGACATGGCCTTAACCTTTTTGAATCACGATTTTAAAAAAAAACATTGCAACGCCCAGTGCTCTAATATAAATTGTATTAAATGTGGCACTGACTGTGGTTTGGGGCACCAGGAGGGCCGATCATATTCCATATTCCTTCTAAAAACGCCCCTGATTACACCTAGACTTGAAAATCATGATGGTATTATGAATGCAACAACTGTCCTACTATTACAGGATCCGTGTGTATGTTTCAATTCTCACCTACATTGCTCTCTGTGTCGGTCTGTAAAGGTTTCAGGCTCCGGTCCGCATGCTGTCATGCTGTCCTTAGATGAGCCACTGGACCTGAAGGTGCCCAGGGGGCGTGTCGGTGGGCGGGACAGAGGCACCATGTCTCCGCCCACTCTCACTCCCTCTCCCACACACGCCAGGGGGGCCGGGCAGCTGCGGATGGCAGACGATGGTACCGCAGTCATCATTCCAGCGTCTCCTGCCTCCCCACACACAGGTAAACACAGAGAGATTCTGTATAATATAGCATAAACATAAGTGCAAGGAGTTTAACTGAGATGTGTGTTTGCAGGTGTCCTGCAGGACAAGTCCGAGACCCCCACACCGCCCGCCGTGGACCTCAGCATGTCCCCGTCCGCCCGCAACACCGCCTGCTCTCCGGATCTTTCCAATGGGAACGGCTCAGCTCACATTTTCCACGGGGTAAGTCGACAACACTAGGGAAGAGCACAACATGGCAACTCGAGTCTAAATATACTAATTAATGCAAGCCAAAACTTAGCTTCAGTTTTCAGATCCGTTAAAGTGACATTTTGGGTTGTACGCTGCAGACCATTTGCAAATAGGACTTCATACTGTAGGTTTTTAACAAGGCTTTTTGAATTCTTGTCCCGTTAAAATCAAATTCAAGAATAAGACGCCACACTGCTTCACACTTTTTACAGAATGTATCTAAGTTAAAAGTGACAGCAAAGACATTTATACCATTACAAAATACTTTTTATCAAAGAATACTGAAATCACGGTTTCCACAGAAATATTAAGCAGCAGCAGTTTTAACACTGATATTAATGAGAAATGTTTATTGAGCAGAAAATCATCATATTAGAATGATTTCTGAAGGATCACAGGAATAAATCACATTTTAAAAAAGATTCAAATAAAAAATAGCTATTTTAAATTGTAATAATATCTTACAATATTACTATTTTAATGTATTTTCATGTCAAAAATACATGTTATAAAAAGTTCTCTTCATATGCAATCTTACATGTGTCTTGTTTTAAGGATTTGTAGACTTAAATACAAGATGATTTTTTTTTCTTTTTTTTGCTGTGTCCCTTTAAGTGTACTATAATTAGCTTTAGACTAGGTTTACTACTTCTTAAATGAGATATGTTGCTCATTAAGGCTTAAGCAAATCAGCGGAGGTGAGGAGCAGCATTAGAGACGAAGAAGCAGCCAGTTTTGATGGTGTCTCCGTTTAGGGCATTAGCATTAAAGCGCATTGCATGCACCGGCCCGTCCTCCGCCTCCCCTCAACATGAGACATTCAGATCTGTTACCCTCGCTGACCCAGATATGGTGTTGTTTCTTATCAAATGCCCCCTGTGTCCCTTCACAAAGGTGTCTCTCTTTCTCTATCCGTGGGGCTGATGGCTGGGGCGCGAGGTTAAATCAGATTTACAGCGAGGTACAGCCACACAGAGCTCTTTCTGCTTAATTCAATTCGCTCAAAATTGAATTGGGAACGGGATGCATGGCTTTTTGTGCCTATGTGTGTCTCCGATGCCTGCAACCCCTCCTTCAGGCCAATGGATGAACAGTGGCCAGGTCTTAGATGAGCGCACCACCGAAGAGCAGAGCAATCAGCCTCATTTTACACAATTCTCTATGCACATTTCTCACATAGCCGAAACCTTCCCAGACAGCAACGACACTGTTGTGCAGTCAAAGTCCTCATTGTTTCTCCGCTAATTAACCCTTCCTAAGCATCACTATTACTATTACACACATGTAGGGTGAGAAATATGAACACATCCCTAACACTAAGCATTCATACAGCACATTTGTGTCATAAGCTTCCATCCAAAGTTGCAAACTTAACTTGTGCGCAAAATTGGAATATCCCATTAAACATTTGCAAATAAAGCTGAAGAAAACAAAATCATCACGACTCGAAGGCGACACTTCCCTGGTCTCAAGAGGGGCAATAGCGACAGACGGTAGAGACGGCGGTCTTTAGCGTCCTTGTTAACACGCCCGCCTCCCATGTCAGAGATGACGTTTCGAATCCCACTCAGAGCGGGTCAAGTCGAAGCACCACAACTGGTGCCATGACCTAAATGGGAGTGAGGTTTAGAGGGAGGTGTTGAGGTAAACCTCACTCCCCTGATCTGATCGACAAACGCTAGAGACTGCGGTATGTAATGTCCTTGTTAGCAAGCCAAACTCCCATGTTAGAGACGCCAGGTTCGAATCCCACTCAGAGCGGGTCGAGTTTAGGTTTAGGAGGTTTAGTGGGGGTAAGAGCTGTTTGGGTAAACCTCACTCCCCTGGTCTCAAGAGGGGCAATAGCGACAGACGCTAGAGACAGCGGTTTTTAGCATCCTTGTTAGCGCGCCCGCCTCCCATGTCAGAGATACCGGTTCGAATCCCACTCAGAGCGGGTCGAGTCGAAGCACCACAACTGGTGCCGTGACCTAAATGGGAGTGAGGTTTAGAGGGAGCTGTTGGGGTAACCCTCACTCCCCTGATCTGATCGACAATCGTTAGAGACTGCGGTATTTAATGTCCTTGTTAGCATGCCAAACTCCCATGTTAGAGACGCCAGGTTCGAATCCCACTCAGAGCGGGTCGAGTTTTGGTTTAGGAGGTTTAGTGGGGGGTAAGAGCTGTTTGGGTAAACCTCACTCCCCTGGTCTCAAGAGGGGCAATAATGACAGACGCTAGATACGCCGGTCTTTAGCGTCCTTGTTCGCATGCCTGCCTCCCATGCCGGAGACGTCAGGTTCGAATCCCACAGTTTTAGTGGGTTGAGTAGGACTGGCTATATATGCATAATTACACTGCAGACTCACTCTCACTTGTATCCTAGGTAAATCATAACCACTGTATCTCGTACGTGTGTTTTGTTGCACTAAGGATGTCGGCTAATATCATCGGCTAAAACACATGCACAGGTTACTTTACTTCCACCCAAGTCCGAGTTGCTTTCACATTCACACGATCGAGCCACAGTTCGTGTGCAATCAATCTCAGACCACCTCCAACAGGTAAGTCTTGGGTTCAGTACCCCAGGCCCCCACATGACAGCTTTCACATTACTAGTTTTTAATACAAAACTAAACGTTTAATGCGTTTCAAACTAAACTGCCAGTGTAAAAGCACCCTAAGGAAGCAATTGTGCAAAATAAAGCTCTATGTATTTTTCTGTAGTATTGGTGGCTTGCCATCTCGCTTCTCTCAATAAAGTCTAAAATTTGTGGTTGAGCATAGTGTTCAGATCAGCACAGCTGGGGGCAGAAACACAAAGACAACTCGCTGCCACATCCAGCCAAAACGCTCATAAGAATCTCCTGCTGTGAGGACAATTGCAGAACATGGACCTCCTGTAGCTCCTGTTATTGTCAGTTTAACAACTATTACTGGATTCACTGTCCTGCTGTAAAAACGATAAAGAGCCTTGAATTATGTTTGCCTTTTCTCGTTTGGTTCCCGCAGGACTCGGCTCATATCCGTTACGTGGAGGGAGGAGCCACATCTCAAGCGTTCCAGTTCTTTGTGCCCATTGGAGGAGGAGGAGGGCTTCACCTGCCTTCCTCCATGTTCATTCGGCAGCCCAGGGACACAAGAGCTTCTCCAGACCTTTCCGCAGATGAACAGCTGGCCTGTCGCTGGAGGAAGGTGAAAAATTGAAGCAGTTTAATGCAGATGCTAAAGTGTATTTTTTACCTGAGCTCATTGTGCATATTTTTTCATGTCATAGTGCCACTTACTTTTTGACTCCTTGCAAGACCTGGTGGATCATGTCAACGACTTCCATGTGAAGCCTGAGAAGGATTCTGGGTACTGTTGCCACTGGGAGGGGTGTGCACGCAAAGGACGGGGATTCAACGCCAGGTGTGTGTAGCTTTACTCTAAATACAATAGTAATCCAATTTTCATTTCTTGATCATTGGTACTTATGATGGTATACAGTATTAATACAGTAGATATATAACAACTTTAAATGAAACAACATTAAACAAACTCTTTATATTATAAAACATGCTGAAAATTAAACAAACTGTTGTTGTTTGTAATGACAATTATATTTACATTTTAAACACCAATTAGCCTTTTAAATTATGAGATCACTAAGTAACTATTCCTTTTTAATAGACTAAAAAGTAACCATGAATGAAATGAACTAACTAAAATGAACCGTGCAGATTTAAACTAAATGAACATTTAAATAAACGGAAAAAAAACATGAAAAGGAAGTAGAATTTTTAATTTATATTTGCAAATAAAAAGAAAGTCAAATGGTCATTATAAGAAAGTTGAGCGCACCAACTTCTCCCACCACCAGGGCTGCTTCTGGCCAAATGGGTGTCCTACACAAATAAATCTGCAATCTGGGGGGGGGGGGGGGGGTGTCGGGGGTCTTACATGCTGTTTGGTGCCCCCTTTAGTAGTTGGTGTCTATGCAGGCAACTCTTCATATAGCGACTCCGACTCACCAACAGGCACCACACATGCATCATTTACAACACGGCAAAAGTCCTATTCTTAAAGGGTAACTAAACCCTGGTCAGAGCCTGACTCCACCCACTGGCAATGTTTTAAAAATGCTGAAAAAGTGGGCAGACCCCAGCGGAGACAGAGGGGACGAAATAGATGCTAAAACACTCGATCCTGATCGTTTTCAATACTCGCAATTCCAACTCCTGACTGGTTTGGACGAAACAAACTGGTTTTTATACTGCCAAGGGCGTAGCTCGTACCAAGAGCGTGGTGAGATGAAACCTGCCTACGTCATGAAGTGCGGAACATCCAATAGGAAAATTCAACTGCAGTAGCCACTGTTCAACCTGAAGAGGGCAGCACTAAGACGTTTTTACACCATATATTGTAGGAATACAAATGTCAAAAAAGTTACTCGAATCAATGACTGGGATTAATAAAGATCCATTCTTACAGATCATTAACTAAAAAAAGTTGGTTTAGGGTTTAGTTACTCTTTAATGAATGTGGAATATCTTCAAAATCTTATTTTAGGGATTTATCAACATTTTTTACAGAACAACAGGTCAAAGATCAAGTCGAACATATTTTTTTGTGGTCTAATACAAGAATTTTTTAGTTTACTAACCATATAAGAATTTTTTTAAGGTTAACTTCCTCGTAGAGGAAAATGTTGCAACTCCAGCCAATTTTAAGTTTCACATAACACGTACCCTTAAGTCTTATGTCTGCCTCATTAGGTACAAGATGCTGATCCACATCCGCACTCACACCAATGAAAAACCTCACCGTTGTCCAACGTGCAACAAGAGCTTCTCCCGACTGGAAAACCTCAAGATTCACAACCGCTCACACACAGGTCAGTGCCTGGATAAATGTATAGATAGTACATGAAGATTGCAAGACCTGGCTAACTTGGTGCTTGCATTTCAGGAGAGAAGCCGTACATCTGTCCTTACGAGGGCTGCAACAAGCGCTACTCCAATTCCAGTGACCGGTTCAAACACACACGCACACACTATGTGGACAAGCCCTACTACTGCAAGATGGTGGGCTGCTTGAAACGCTACACGGACCCCAGCTCCTTGAGGAAGCATATCAAGGCTCATGGGCACTTTGTAGCCCAGGATCAGGGAGGTCCAGGTGGGGTGGGCTCCTTGATGAAGCCAGGGCCGATCGCTGGGGTGGGGAAAGAATCTGAGCTGACTTACATCAGCGGGGCCCACATCATCATTCCTGGTGCTGCCGCTGCTCTTTTGGGTGGTCACGGGCTGCAGGGTCTTGGAGGCTCCCTCCCCTTGTCTCCCCTCAGTCCCCGCCCCTTGGACTTGAGCACGCTGGGCTGCCCGAGCTCCCCTTCAGCTGGGCTTGGAGGGACGCCCATTCTGTCCTTCAGCGGTTCCCCACTTGGCCTAGCCAAGTCACCATTGCTGTCTCATACCTTCTCATCTTCCACACTGGGGTTGCCCATGGTTCCCATTTTGGGCTCGGAGCGCAGGGACCATGCCAAGGGTAAAACCAGGGGCGAGGAAGGCGAGGACGAGATCCATGGTGGCGTGCTCAACCTGTCTACGGGAGTGTCCCACGACCCCCTGTCTTGGGTTGTCATCCCCTCTGGCCAGGTGGTGCTGAAGCCAGCTGTGGTCAACTGAGCATGACATTCCAGAAGAACGGCAGGGGAAGGGTGGGGGTGGAACAGGGGTCAGAGGTCAGAGCCAAGCCTGAGGGGGGTTTTCACAAAGCAAATTCAGTTCTGCATGGACACCCTCTTCTTCAACTTTTAGTACTATTTCGGTTCTAATTTCTACCTTTATACAGACACGGCTACATGTTTCTTGTGGTAATAACCAGGAAACTAAATCAGCATAACAGTTCGGAAAGAGCCCAAACATTCACCTCCATTTCATTCTCAATCTGGTTTATCTTATTGCCGGGGGTTAGGGGTATCAAATCCTCCTACGGGAGGGCCACCTTACTGGAGATTTTAGCTCCAACCTGTTTCAACACACCTGATTGGAAGTTTCAAGTAATCCTGATGACCTAGATTAATTGGTCAGTTAATTCAGGTGTGTTTGACTATGGTTGGGGTTAAACCAGTGGTGGGCAATTATGGCCCTCATGGTCCACTGTCCTGCAGATTTAGTTCCATCCCTAACCAAACACACCTCAACAACCTACACAAAAATTACAGGGTTGGAGCTAATCTCTGCAGGACAGTGGAACTCAAGGGCCAAAGTTGCCCACCCTTGGTCCAAACTCTGCAGGAAGATGGCCCTCCAGAAGCAGGATTGGACACCCCAAGTCTTCTACACTTTTTCTTTTTTATGAGAGCACTGATCTAAACAGCAGACTTGAGAATCTGTGCCCTTGCTTCAAGAGACAATTTTTGTGTATTTATGTGTAAGAGTAACTTTTGGACGACAGTGTACGAAAACACACTAAAGACACAAATGTATGCTATGTTTTTTCAAGCCATTCCGTGCATTACAAGAAGACCTCTAAGCTTAGCAAGCTAGAGATCTTTGAGGCTAACTCGTATGGTTTTGCAAAGAGGTGCTGAGGTCGTAGGTCAAACGAGCAGCTCATTCAATTGCCACCAATCAGCATCTGTTGTACCTTTCAGACCAATCCTTTTCCTGGAATGTCACTTTCCTGCAGAACTGATCTCCAACACACCTGACTGGAAGTTCTAGTTTATCCTAGAGACACTGGCTAGCTGGTTAAGGTGTGTTTAATTAGGGCTAGAGCTAAATTGTCCTGTAAGGTGGCCCTCCAGGAGCAGCATTGTACACTTGGTACCTTCCTGCTTCGGACTATACCAAGTCCCACCTCAGTCAGCAGGCACTATCTGCATCCCTTGCAAGTGAACTTCCTTAGCTCAATGCTATTGCAAGCTATATGACGAACCTTGCATTTGCTGCTAGCTGTGTCACTGCATTGTAGGCATACATAATTGAATAAAAATAGACAAGTATGTACGACAATCTGTCCTCTGAGGAGGAGGAAATAGAAAACTTTGACTAGCTCTATTTTGTTGAATAAGAGATCTACAGACACAAGGCTCAGACTGACTGAGTTTTAAGTCATACAAGGGCACAAACTCACCCAGCAGTTATGCTAACGCCCCATAGGACATGGCATTGTTGTAAATAGTGCCATCTTCTGGTCATCAAATGTACTGCACACTACTAGCTGAACAAAGGGCTAGATTTAACAGTATTATCCTGCTTTGCAGTATGCTAGTTTGGCAGGGTAAAACGAAGAACCTTTGGCTGATGCAGTATAGTGGAATGTTTAAAATAACAGCTATCCACAACCCAATGAACACATTGACACTTGTAATACACCAGTTTGGGTGTACCGCAACAGTTAAGGGCCTAGTTTGTTTAACAGAACTTTGCTTTCATGGTTTGTCCAATTTTAAATCACTGTGCTAAAAATCTAAACGTATACCCCGAGATTGAAGTAGGGACTTAATAATAAAGTGCAGAAAACACTATTCAGGTGTCCAAAAGATAGCATTTTGATTTAAGACCCTTTCACATGACCCACATCAACTTTCTCCAATGGATCGAACTCTGTTGTGCAAAGCGTCAAGTTTCAGGGTAACTTCTGACGTCACATTGCACACATGTTCTAAGGCAACGCTCCAAGAACTACATTTTCACATTTGACCCCATTTGCTTCAGATTTTCCCCAGTTGCATGATGTTATTTTGTGCTGAAAATGAAAACTCAAAACTGATTCGGTGCAAATCTAGAAACATCAAGTTATACAACACAACCTTTAAGGCAAAATCACCCATTTGTGATGCTATCTGCAATGCCCCGATGCTTGTGTTGAGAGGTGCACTGAATTCCTGAAGTGGGTCAAGTGAGAGAGACTTAATGCAGTCATTGTCATCCTCACTAATGATCAGCCTGTCGCCATTAAGACCTCATTCAGATTAAAATAACACTCTTGATCAAGTCTTCTCTCCTGAACTCAGGCACATAACAGTCTCTGTCCTCTCTGTAACAGAGATGACAGTTAAAACATCCTTCAATAACAGCCATTATCTCCCCTATAGATTGCCAAGAAAAAAATAATAATAAAAACTGTTCTGACTGAAATAATCACACTTCCTTAAAGCATGAACGCCACCCTCCTCTCCCAACCAATTTGTACACTCAAGAGTCTTATTCCATAATTATTTTGTTTTATTGTTTGTGGAAAGTATACAATTAATGCTGTTTTGTTTTACTGACTTTTTTTTTTTTGGACGTGACATTTCCTGATGTTGAAGTTGCTTTATGTCTTCGTTTCTGCTATCGCTACTCTATGTTCATCTTTCTCCAGCTGATGAATTGAGAGGAAAGGGAGAAATGAAAGAAAGGGGTGACAGATTAGATTGCAGGAAGGGTTTGAGTCAAAAACCGTCACATTTAAACCATGCGCAGTAATCGAACACAATCCTCTCAGGTTTGCAGAGCTTTGACATCAGTGTGCACAACGGAAATGACATGTTTATAAACCCTTGCATCTTTTCAACAAGCTGGAAATCTCTTTGTCCACCTTATCCTACTCCCTCTCCCCTCATGTTTTTGTCTGGAGAAAGCTGATACTGACACAGACCTGTTAAGGTCTACATCAATGTTCAATATCAGATACGCTGTTTGAACCTTTAACCCTTTGAGCACTCTGAAGACGGAAGCACTGTTTCTCACAGGAGACTCCAAAAAAGGCCTTGATAAATATTGTATGTGAGAGACTTAAGCAATACATTCAATGGCAGGGATGACGCCATAGCTAGATATTCAGATTTAAATATTAAATGCAGTAAAACACAAATGATGTACAAAAAATTTAAATAAACACGGTACATAAATTAAGCACCATGTTAGAACAAGTAAAAATAAAAAATCAGCTCACAAGAGGTAAAGAAGTTTGTCTGTTCCTAAAGTAAACTAATAATAGTTTCACAATTCTTGACGCAGAGATGCACAAAGGGTTAACAAAAAGACTATGGCCGTGAAAGGCCAGTATCCATTTGTATTTTATTTTTCCTTCTTTGCACATTTTTGTATATCAGTATTTTAATTTTTTTTCAAGTGCCTTTTATTATAGTTGAAATGTAGATGTAATACACTATATGAAAATAAATATATATATATAAATAAATAAATATATATTTTTCCCAGCATCATGTTCTGAAGCCGAACATGCAGAATTTTAGAGCTGTAAAAGTCTCCAGTTGGTACAACATAGGTGTGTGTGCTCCTGTTTTAGAGGAATTTTATTACGATATTGATAAGGATGTCAATGAAAATAAAAGAAACAAATGTTTAATAAATTTGCATTTGATATATACATACACACATATTGTGTTTTGCTGAGTCTTTTTTGTTTAGGACATCCGTGTACAGGAAGCTGAAATGTTTACGACCTCAGAGACGTTGAGTATATAACTTGAGTATATAACACAGCTGATGTCTGTGAGCAAGATGGTAACGTTACATGGAGATAAAATAAGTACATCCACGACACGTGTTATCATGATAGGTGTAATAAAATCACTTACTAACCTTGTCTGGCCAATCTTTAATAGCTGGAAACAGATGGACATTTTACTGAAGAAAAATCCACTCAGTAAATTATGTCTGCCACACACAGTGAGTTCATTCACCCACAACAGCTTTTAAAATTCAAAATGTTTTGACCTGTAGACTTCAAGTGTTGAATTACAGTGAAAATTACTTGTTTTACACAGTTTTAAATTACCTTTTGTGGTAATCTACATCAAGCCAGAAATGTCGTTGAAACAGCTCACCTTGCATTGAATCCAGACCATTCCCTTAAACATGAACACATCAGTTTATTCAGCAATGATGCATTAAAGGATTAGTTCACATTAAAAAATAAAATAAAAAAAAACCTTTGCTGATAATTTACTCACCCTCATGTCATTCAAGATGTCTTTCTTTCTTTAACGTTAGTTGAAAACAATGGGCTCTATGCACGGCGGTATTTCCGGTGAAGGATTAAGGATGCTCAATAACTTCCGCCGATCGTAGAGTCCAATGCAATACCGAGAATTTATATTGAATTTTATACTCCATGGTTATAATAAAGAAAGTCACAAAAACAGATAAAACAGACACCCCTCGTTGTGTTTATGCTTCTTTTTAAAATTATATTAAATAAACATAACTATATAAAAAAATTACATCTAAACGTATGTACGTTTCGTTTCAAAGACTGGAGGACAGTAAATTTTGAAGACTCTGCCATAATCCCGTTTTCCTCGGTTCTCCTCCGCTTTAATCTCCACAACCGGAAATGGACGAGCATCCTTGCGTCAAATGCGGAACTTATGCGTGCATAATAGCCCATTAAGGTTGTTGTTGAAAACATTACAGGATGGACAACAGTTTCAAGGTCCAAATGACCGTTTCAGTGCAGCTTCAAAGGGCTTCAAACGACACCAGACGATGAATAAGGGTCTTATCAAGCGAAACGATCGAAAATAATTTAAAAAGTTTTATAAGTTCAAATGCTCGCCTTTGTTCTGTGATGCGCGTTCGTGACTCTCCTGTTGGAACTCGCTCATCAAAATGAATGAATCTTTTTCGAGTCATTTCGTTCGTTGAATGAACCAAATGACTCGAAAAAAAGATTCGTTCCTTTTGATGAACGAGTTCGAACAGGAGAGTCACAAACCTGCATCACAGAACAGAGCAAGGTGAGCATGTGCTTATAAAACATATTTTTGAAATGACCGTTTCGATAGATAAGACCCTTATTCATCGTCTGGTTCATTTAAAGCCCTTTGAAGCTGCACTGAAACGGTCATTTCATTGAAACTGTTGGAGTCCATTATATGGAGAAAAATAAATGTTAAACAAAAACCTTCTTTCTTTTCGACTATAGAAAGAAAGACATGGATATCTTGGATGACATGGGGGTGAGTAAATTATCAGAAAGTTTTTTTTTTTTTTTTTTTTTTAAGTGAACTAATCCTTTTAATTGATCAAAAGTGACAGTAAAGACATCACAAACGCTGTTCTTTTGGACTTTCTAAACATCAAAGAATCATGAAAAAAGTATAGCTGTTTTCATTGATAATAATCAGAAATTTCTTAAACATCAAATCATCGAGTGATTTCAGAAGAATCATGTGACACTGAAGACTGGAGTAATGATGCAGAAAATTCAGTTTTGATCACCGGGATAAATTAAAATAAATTGCAATAAAAAAATAAATAGTAATATCTCTAAATATATTACGGTTTTACTGTATTTTTGATCAAACAAATGCAGGCTTGGTGAGCAGAAGAACATAACATTGCACAGCCCCCAAACTTTTGAACAGTAAGTGTACATATTTTAATACGTTCAAAAAAGTCCAACAAATCCCTGATCCAACATTGTAGAACTCAAGAACATTCCAGATGTATTTCCTTCATTCCATCACGCAATGTCCAGAAAATACTCATCCACTCTGACGGATGGATAAAGAAATGATTGACATTTGGATGTAGAAAAAGAAGAGGCTTTATTGGGGGTTCTGGGTGATAATTACAGTGGGAGGACGTGAGGATGGAGATCATGTCTGCTGCTGCTGCTCTGGAGGTTTCTTCTGGTCCTGCTTTTGAATGCTGAGCTCTTCATCCAGACGCTCTTTCGCTCGCACCACCTTCACGAGTCCAAACACAAATACATCATTATTTCTTAGATGTCGCTGGATTTACTGCTAATTACAAGCGTGTTTTTATTAAACTGTTAATTCGGTAAGCACAGACTTTACCTTCTCTACAGGTTAAGAAGCTTCTAAGAGCTTACACAACAATGATGTACTAAAAACTAGGGATGCACAGATATGAACATTTTGGCCGATATGATAATTCTTTAAATTTGAAAGCCGAAAATCGATATATTGGCCCAGGCTGATAAATCAAATCTTTGAGAGCCTGATTACAAAAACAAAAGTCTCACAATTAAAAGCCATGTCCCAAACACACAATTATAATGTTATCATTTTATGTAACCTATATTTTCCTTTTTTTTAAGTGATTTCAATCATATTTCAAGCATTTTAAAAGCATCATGGTGACCAGTGCGCATCTGAAGTGTTTCAGCTGAAGGAAATAATCCATTATTCATCGGCTGTAATACTGTATTGGCCAAATTTTCTTTACAGGCCAATAACGATAACATTAAACATGAACATATATTGGCCTTATTCAAAGCGAATAAGGACTAAAAAATGCTTACAAGTATTATTCATGCCAGGCCAGTAGATGGCAATGTCACTTTATAAAGAAACACTACACACCAGACTGAACACGTATCTTGTTGTGTAAACGAAACGGGCAGAATATATGATATTAACGACCCCTTAGATTATGTAAGAATTCAGTTGTCTTCATTTAATTATTTTCTAAAAGATGTGAAATAGATGAGAATTCAACTTAAATAAATACAATGAATTAAATCTAAACGACTCTTCTTTATATTTTGAGTGTTTGGCTTCAAAATGTCTCTTGACCTCATTTAAATACTTGACCTTTGAAATACATTTTTGGTCTTTGTTTCCGCAGCATTTTCAATTTTGATATTTTTAGGTCAAACCGTTCTTGTCTGTCAGTCATATAATGGAGGTCTATGGTCACCACCTCAAAGAGCATGCACAGAGAAGTCCAAATTAAACATGATTTAATGACTCGTAAATGTAAGTACACATTGATGGCCTAAGACACGAAACGAGCGGTTTGTGTCAGAAAACGAACAGCTTTTATATTGTTTTTACCTCTTGTAACCACAGCCACGTCCAAGTGATCTGAGGGCGTGGGCGCTTCGGTCTGCGAAAGCGCTGGAAAGCCCTGGAAGTGATCTCTCGCTTTGCGGAAAAAATTCTGTTGATATATCGAAATCGTCTTCCATTGTGATTTCCTGTATATCTAAATATGTTTAGATCTTCACAGTGAAAGGTAACACTTCTGAAATCTCTGTGTAAACAACACTTTGACGTGACTGTGGTTACAAGAGGTAAAAACGATATAAATACTGTTCGTTTTCTCACACAAACCGCTCGTTTCGTGTCTTAGGCCATCAATGTGTACTTACATTTACGAGTCATTAAATCATGTTTAATTTGGACTTCTCTGTGCATGCTCTTTGAGGTGGTGACCATAGACCTCCATTATATGACTGACAAACATGAACGGTTTGACCTAAAAATATCAAAATTGAAAATACTGTGGAAACAAAGACACCTACATCTTGGATACCCTTGAGGTAAGATAAAACATACCAAAAAATAATGTCAAAGTGAACTATCCCTTAATTTGCATAAATTGCACTACCCTGCGATGTTAGGGATCTTTATGTCAACAGAAACCTACAAACACTTCTCTGGAACTACAAAAATGATCAGTTTGATTGACAGCGTCGTTGCTTACCTTTGACTGAAGATAGAAAGAACCGCCAACAGATTTGTCATTGACTTTAAATAAATGCTCATAATTCTGAAGAGAAAATGAAAGCACATCAAATTAAACCAAATTTGTCACAGAATACTGTAATAGTAAGTGTGTAATGCTCTTACCTTCTGGATCTCCTCTGGGGATAATGTGGTGATGTTGAGGATCTGCTGGGCTTCTTGTAAAGTCATTCCTGTGAAACTAGACACGGCCGCAGACTGTCTTCCCGCTTGACCCCGCGCCTCCGCTGCCGCCTGACTGGCTGCATTCACATTCACACAACATCCTAATGTTATTTTTCACAAGTTATTCCTTACATTGCTGATTATTAAGTAAGGGATAATGTACATCCAGCCGGTTGTTATCTGAGAATAAACCCCCGACAGGGTGATGACGGCGTAGCGATCGCAACCGGCTGGATGTATCCCTCTTATTACACGGCTAATTGCCACATAAGTAAATACTTAGACACACGAAATATTGATCGGAGTTGAAATATTGTATTCGGTCTATAAACGCAAAAGCTTCAGCGGAGAGAGCCGTTGCAGCGCGGCAAGTTCAAACTAGACGGTCGGACATTTAAGAGATACGGTATACGTCACTCACACCACTTATTACATGGCATTTCACCACATAAATAATTATGGGAATAAGAGATATTGATTTCAGATTAAACAGTTTTAAAATCGGACCTGTTTGTATTTTATAATCCAACTGTGTACAAAAAAATAGTCACGAAACGTTTGTATGAAACAAGAGAGAGCGAGTCCAAGATACTGGATGGCATTATTAAATAACTACACAAAAAATTTATTTGACTGAGTTTTAATATTTTATTAGGTCACTAAAAGCATAACTTCCATGAAGAAAAAACGTTCCTAGCAAGCGTTTATCGC